TATATACTCTTTATTGCACAAAAAACAAAGTCAACATTACAATAGTATGTAAATCACAAGCAAGGGTGGGCTTATCTCTATAAGAGATCTCTTCCAGCCAACCAGGCGGTGTGGGAGATCAAGCAGTAACGGCAGACTGACAAGTGCATAATTGTTAAATTTGATGTGAATGTATATTAACATTAATACATATAGGCATGATATAAAAAAAAACAATAACAAAAAATAAGAATACATAAATAAACAATATTATATAATATACATATATAAATAAAAATAATAATGATTACAAAGAACTATGAATACTAACATTGTGCTAGAAAGTGCTCCTTGAGTTTAGTTTTGAAAGATATGATAGAGGGGCAGTCTCGAATATCTAATGGGAGTTTGTTCCATAGTCTAACAGCCCGTACAGAAAAGGAGTTGAAGAGAAAATTGGTGTTACATATTCGAGTCCCGGTGGTGCTCATAATTCGGTAAGTACTCACGAGTATATCAGTGTTTTATCGCGTACACTCTTCTCTATGTTTTCCTTTATTTTTTTCTGCAAATAAGCCCCCATGTGAGTTTGTCTACTTACACGCTGCCATTACAGGATTTATCTGACTTATTTATCCATCAAATCTTCATCAAAAATACTTTGAGATTAGAAAAATTTGTTTTTTACCATCACCATTTTACCCGGTTCCAAATAGGAGGTTATTTATTTTTAAAATTCCAAGTGACAATTGTAATTTAAGACGATTCTCGGCAATACATTTTTACAACAATGCCAACACTTCACATGATCGATATCGGTGCGCTATCTTTATCTGACATCGATACTTCTTGCTAAAGTCCTCGAGACCTTTGTCAGATACATTAAAATGGCGTACTTTTGATTATTAGGACGTATTCTTCACTCGATATTTGTAGCAGCGATTTTATCGACAGGATGCTGCTATTAAGAATTATTTTTTTTAACGACAAACACCCTTTCCGTATTTAACAATGAAGAAAATCTCGATATAAAACGGTTATTAATAGTTTGTTACCTATAATATTTATTAATGGAACATGCATAATACGAAGTAATAATTAACTAAAGCCATAAAAAATCTTGAATTTGGATAAAATAATCCGTAATTTTCGATTGAGCGACAACGACACTTAAGATTTATATTTGTACGAAAAAACACAACTCTTACAGGCATTTTTTACATTTTTCTTGGTAAACAATATATTTTAAAAACTCTGTAATTATCACGGAATTCGGGGAATTATGGGAGACTAAAGTTAAAGCTACGGCCATTTAAACGCAACTGTTTATTGGTTACTCCTAGCAACAAAAACAAAAGTACAATCTGTCACAGTAATAGTCTTTGAAGCACATTTTCAATGTTTGGATATGAAGTTAAAACTGAAAATTATTATTGAATATTATTTAATCCAAGTGGCAAGGTTGCCTTCTAAAAACAGTTAAGTTTAGTTAAAATTTCATTTATCACAGTGGACTAATGAAAGCTGTTAAAGAACGTATATTTGATGCGTTTCACATTCGTAATGCTCTATTGTTAAAAACAATTGCCCTAAAAATTACTAGAAACGAAAAATATCTTATCTCAATTTGCCTCTAAAAGGTATTTCAGCTTTTCAATGTTGACATAAATATGTATCTTGTCTTTTGATAGCGTTTTGTTTTTAAATGTAGAAAGTAATAATTTTAGAATCTAGTTTTCGTAGAATAAAACTGTCTCTTAGTAAATAATACAAAAAAATGTCTGACTTATTAACGAATTTTTCGTTTCAATAAAAGACTACTTAATAAATGCTTGTCACTTGTTTTTTCATTAGTTAAGTGAAATTAAGTGATTGTCATCGGTATCTTATACCCACACAATAACAAATTCGTAAATACTATTACTTATATATAACAGACAATTCCAATTTTTACAGAAAAGCATTAAAAATATTTTTTCCATGATATTGCTCTGTTTGTAAGTAATACTTATATTTTATAATAAGTACCTACTTATTACCTACTTTTAGATATTGTAACACTTATAATAGTAAAAGTAGTGAGTAAGTTAATAAATATGTAGCAAAGTTTAGACAGGTACTATTTGCACGAATGTTGCTTGACATTTCAGATATGGATTTTAACAGCACTAATATTTTTTTACGTTTGAGTTTGTCTCAAGCGATATATATTCTCCTTACAAATAAGGCTAGCTCGAAGTCTCGAAATCATTCGTTGGTTACAGTTTTTTAAATAGACCGCTCAAATGAGATAGTCAACGTTCAAAAGAGAATAGAAAATGTAGAATGGAAAACGTCTAACCCTACGATGATCCCCCTACGAACATTCCACTTGCTATTATGCCTTTGAGCTACCCCTCTCTTGAGCATTATTTCATTATTTTCAGTTAATTAAAATTTTTATTTATGTCATAATATTTCATAAATTAAATTGAGGTGAAATGTGAACTCACAACTTAATTTAATTTAGATGAGAAGGAAATTGTCAAAAGAGCAACATGGTACAAAATACAACATTTTAAGAAAAATATTATCACCGAATGAAAACAAGATTTTCCATAGAAATAAGTAAACAAATACAACAGTAAATAAAATATAACAGTTTATAAATAAAACATATAAATAAACATTGACCAACACATTGCTTTATGTGTAAATTGATTTCCATTTATCAAAATCTAAATTGAAATAAAGCTTTTCATTAGATGTTAATCACGAAAGATATTATATAGAGCTTCTTGGGTTTGATATTCGTAATTCGATTTCAATGTCTAAGCAACAATGAGTACAAAGAAAAAGAATAGCAAAAGTTAGAACAGACTTTTCAGACAATTTTAACGTTTTAATAATTCTACCTAACCTGATAAATAATTTCAATATATTTTGTCCCTAATTTTTTTTTTGCAGTTTTATAAGTACTGTTTTCTAGAAAACTTTAATCATATCGATGAATAGAAGGCAAAACGGTTTTACCAGCCCTGAGATCGTGTAAAAATCCAGACCCGAATTCGAAATCACTCATGTGTCTGAATTCACGTTATTTGGTGAAGAAATTTTATTGATTCTATTTTTTATATAAAAAAACGAAACAATACGTGTCTCAGATATTCTATTCCTATATCATTTCGAAACTCACTTCATTTATGCCACGAAACGTTATTACCAATTCAAGATTGAGCGGAGGCCTCTTTATGCAGTGAATTCCGACACTTGAATGAATTTGAATTCGGGGTTCGGATTTTTAGAGAATCGCTCTGCTGGAAATAGAAATTAGGCATATACCTAATTTCTATTTCCAGCAGAGCCGAAGGTGAGTCGAAGGGCGTGTAGGTAAGTATATTGTAAGCCTATTATTATTAAAATTATGCTTATTACCAACGGCGGACTAACCCCGTCGGGGGCCCGGGGTGATATCAGACCCAGACCTACAACTACTTCTTCCACCAAGACTGGATATGAGAAAGATAAGGCAGTCTATTTTTATAATATTCAAAGTCAATGGTAGTATCAACGAAAACTCTTTCTTTTAGTGTTGGTCTTATGAATTTCTAGGAACAAAACTATTGATTAATATAATAAATAAAATCTTAAACTAAAGCTTTTTCTCTTTAAGAAAAAATATCTATACCTAGGTACTGTCAACGGCTGCTGGCGTCATATGAATGTTGGTTTTGTTTTTTTAAACACTGAAAATTTATATTCTTCTTCTTTTTTTTGTAATGTAATAAAAAAAGGTTTGTAATAAAGTCCTTTTCTGTTAATGATCCAAAATAAAACATTGTACCTGTACAATAAAGCAATAGACGTTTCTATTGCATTGTTTTTAAATTTCTTTTGTATGTCTTTATGTACAAATCGGATGCAACCTACTCATATGGTCGAAGTAGGTAACTATCTATTATAAACACAAATACTTATTAATGCTTTGATAAACATATACATACATTCATATTTTTTTACACGTAACTGAAAAAACAATAGAAATAGTAATGTCAATGTCACAGTACACTTATGCCCGTTTTCACTAAACTTAATAGGTAAAAATGCATTTCACCATCGACTAGGAACGACCTTACGAAATTAAGCAGAGTCTTAAATTATGATATTCGTTATACGGCGCCTTACGCTAGGCATTTGCCTATATGACAGGTAAGTAAGTCAAGGATAATAGAAAAAAAAAATTGCAATTAAACTAATCTGCTTAGACGATTCGTCATTTTAGGCGTTTTCTAGTGAGCTGTGCCTTGTTCTAGATTTGTAAAAATGAGTGTTACTTACAGTTAGAACAAAGATTTCGCGAAGTCGTTTTCATTTTAATTAAGTTTTATTTACTTTTATTCAAACACTGAATTGACATTTAATGTTCCAAACAGTTTATTATATTTTTATTCCGATTTTCTTATCACATTCGTCTACAATTTAACTTACAAATTATAAGTTTGTGAGTAGAATAATATAAATCTACACGACAACTATTGAACGAATAACGTTTGCTATGCACAAGTTAGTAGGGCGTATTAATAAAAGACCCTTATTAAAAAAATATATATTCTTCATGTTTCAATTTATATTTAGACAGCCAATAATGCCACTTTCATGGCTGACAAAAATATCACATTTCATTCGTTTTATCGGATCTCAGGATCCTGTTCCCCTTTTAAAGCTTACTCTCTCTATGTAGCATGCATTCATCTGACAACAAAGGAACAAAAGACTTGATACAAGTATATAAAACACTCGAAATATCGAGACTATAATACCCATCATTATAAATTCATGTGCTTTGTCATTTACAGTATTTATTTTGAAACATGACAAGGGGGAAAAGATCCCCTCTTTTCGCTTGAAAGCTCCCGAAAGCGCGCGAGGAAGGCGTCAGGCGGCGCTGAGGGAGACTGCCATTGGTGCATAGAACCCCCACTATTACTGGCCCCGCCTCTGTAGAAATTCGCTCGGGTGAAGACTGTTGTCAGCTCATTCGGTGACTGAGTGTCGTTGTGGCTAGTCGTTGTCGTGTCGTTTAACGAGCTAACTCGATTTCGAAATTAAGTATCTGAATCACCGGTGGCGCTGAGTCAACTAGTTGTGTTTCGAACTGTGATGTTAAGCTAAACCCTCGAGTGACCCTGGACTTCATGTTATGCACGCGATGAGTGATCCATCAGCTTTGGCTGGCATGTTGCCTTTTGATTCTATTGGACTGTACGAGCAGCCGAAACCGAGGTTTATATTTAAGATGCCCCGTGTAGTTCCTGATCAAAAAGGAAAATTCGAATCAGATGATCTCTTCAAACGACTGAGTAGAGAAAGCGAGGTAACTTTACTTTTAATTTATCAAGATTGTATTTCTTAATAACGATAGTATTTATTCGTATGCTGTTATTGTGGGTCGTATACTTAAATACTGATATTATTTTAATGTGTTTTATAATTATCATAACATATTTATTTGATATTTTTATGTTTTATATTTTTAACAACACAATAACGTATGCCAATTATTTCATGTTTCTGATATTACCAATTTCACGAAATTAATGACTTGGTTAGTTCACCAGACTTGTTCATTATTCCTTGAAGCAATCGGAAGTACCTACTTAGGTACTATAAACGTATTACGTTACCTATAATAATATAGATATATGTAAATTAAATAGAAATATTAAAAATGTGAGGGTAGACTAATACTCACTAACCAAATAAGTGTTCCAAGTTGTTTAAACTTATTTTTATAAACAATAAATATTAAAATGTGCGTATTATGTATTATATATAAATTAAACGACAAGATAAAAAGTGGAAAATCATTTTCAGTCGTTTAGAAATTTAGTTAACACAATAGGTATTTCTAGATCATCGGATTTAACTTAATTTTAAAAAGTATTGTAATATTCTAAAGTAACATCCACCAATCCACGATGTAATAAAACTAATTAATGAGGAAAATGTAACCAAATTATTATTGTCGCTATACGTCCGTAAATAGATTCATTATTAATTATTGCAGAACTTGTCTATACTACTAATGATTCGAAAAAATATATAGAAGGATGAAATTTAATTTATTGACTGGAATCTATTGTATTGTTTATAATAAATGGGGATCGTATATAAGACAGATGACCTGGTTTTGGCCATGTTAAGATTATGACCTAGTGTTGGCCATTACGAGAAAGTGAGCACTGACACATCACGGCAGGTGTTGACGGTATTAGTTTTGCCATAATACAATGTTAGAACGCCATGAAATTACAAATGGTCAAAAAGGTGGCAGTGGACGAAACCAGCCCCCTAATTGTCTAATTTTAAATCTATTGCAATCGCTTTCAGTTTGAAAGATGTAGATGTTAGGGGGCAGGTCTTCTACCCTTCTGGCGAAGGAATCATAGTCATGGAAATCTGGAATAGAATGATCTAAATAGATCTAGATTCAAGAAGGGTTAATCTTGGTTATCAAACATAGAACGATAATCAAATACAGATTAAGGAATGCGTGATCAAGTGCTTACGACGTTGATTTTCCTGATGTAATCGTCTCCGAAGTGTCGGGTTCGATATTTGAACGATTCGATTCACACAGCGCTGCTCAATCAAATAAAACAATATTACATTTGATAATCGTTTCTCTAAGACAAATAAAATCTTTATTACCTATTTTGAAGTAGGTTTTATTATTTTTTGAACCTTTTAAGCTACTACAGCGTTGCCATCAACGCTGTATTTTAACAGAATAACAGTGCTGATAACGTTACAACCAAACAGACTCCTTTGCCCATAAAAGTAGTCTGTACTTTCACATTAAAATGGGATTTTACTGCTATTCATGTACCCACAGCAATTATAAAACTCACATAAGGCTCCAATCCCGATTACTGTTTACTTATTTATAAAAATGTCGTTACACAGCATACGATGAGTCACATTTTCAAGGAAATTCTAACAGATAGGTACGTATGGAATACGTTTCGTTAATTTAATTCGAATATTGTAAATACATATTATAGAGTTTTTGTCCTCTGTTTTAGAAATAAAATATCACATGAATTATTTTTTCATACCCGGAACTCATCAGTTTACTTGTAAAGTGTAATGGTTTGGAGCAATACGATATAAGCAAGCCCAATTCAAATATTCCACATATGTAGGCAAATAAAACATATTCTTAATGAAAAAAGAATTGATGAAAAAAGAGAAATTAAAATAATGAAAAATGATGCATTTTTGATTAAGAATATTTTTAAATGTAGCATTGTAAATGCAATATTGATTAAATATATCATATAAAAGATTTTCATTACTTACTGTAATTGGCAGGTACGATATACCGGGTATCGCGACAGGCCACCAGAGGAGCGACAGATGAGATTCACGAGTGGCTGCCGTGAGGGTCACACAGAAATCGCCTTCACAGCCACCGGCACCAATCTACAGCTAATGTTCGATCACTCGCCGTACAACAATCGTGGCTGCGACTTTCAGAAGGAAAACGGCAAGGTGGGCAATTTCATCGTAGAATCTTACTTGTTTGTGTTCGGTAAAGATTGGCGAGAGTCCCGACATTACAAACCAAACATTTTGACCCATAAACAGGTCAAATAGAACCTCTTTTGTGTGTTATGTGGCAGGTGTCAATCGAGATATTTAACTGCTCCGAAATATACCTACATCTCTTTCTATAATATTAATCACTATTAAAGTCTCGATAAGATGCACTCGCTATAAGACGGGATATTAAATATGCATATGATATTGATGGAATTGTATAATACACAAATACGTTAGTCTACTGAGCCATGAATTGTAAATGTATGCACATAAAATGGCATATACAGAAAAAAATATTTTTCGGAAAACTCGACGTGGTATTTTTTAATAAGATTTTCACTTTAAAGACCCAGTACCATAGTAAATTGAAGACTCCTTTCGACAGCTCAGTATTTTACTGCTGCGGACAATTGCTCTGCTGATCCTGCATTGGATCTGGCCCTGCATAAGAGCATTTGCACGCGGCGTTTTTTAAATCACACTGCCCGGTTCATTATTATTAGTCAAATTGAAACTTTTGTTCTCAATCCTCGCGTTTGAAGCGATGTAACGCGCAAAAAACCGCTGCCATTCGGTACCTAATAACAACCGCCGCCAATAAAATGTGTGTTTAATTGAATACGAATGAGTAATTGTGTTTGTTCCGTTACAATCATATTGGTGCACAATACAATCTATCTATAGGTGTTCATAACATAGAGTATGCACTAATCAAAAACGCAAGTTACACACACGTAACCCATCAAAAAGTACGTGCAAAGGCCCTAAATGATTCGAGCGAACATATAGACACACACACACTAACGCGAAGTTTATGTCACGGAAATTTCTTCTCTAGAAACATGTTTTGCTACATTTTTGAATTAAGATTAAATTACTAATTAATTACATAATAACCTAACAGAGAACAAAAATAAGACATTATATCTATGTGTAAATTATACCTACTTATGCATTTTTTCTTATAGCTGACAGGCAAATGCTAAATTAGGTACCTACCTAACTATTTAACTTTAGGACATTAGCCATGGCATTAGAATGACAAAATAATTGAACATGACAAAATAACTGAGTAATGAGTAGTAGCTCCATCATAGTGAAGATAGTAAATGAGTCATTTCTGATTCCGAAATGGGATTGGACTCTAATGGCACATTCGTTACTGGCGGATGGCGCGTCATCAAGGCTCACTACTTCCGGCACACATTTCATAAACGAAATTAAGACATAAATAACTTCCAAGCTGCAATGAAAAAAATACAATGCCGTAACGCTCCTCATAACGCGACGGTCACGCACCGACACCACACAAGAATAATGAAGGCTATTCTGTTCGGACATTCTATATATCGTAGCATACAATACCAAGCATGTTACTGCATTAATTCAAAAGTGATTAACAATATCGAGTTTGTGATACATTTAATTTATACTTGGCCCCATTCGACTTTGAACAAAATGTCCCAATTAGCAAAGTAGGTATCATGTAAAAACCGGCCAAGAGTGAGTCTCTATTATATTGCTTTTTTTAATTTCAAGCACAGTACTTTCAGTGTTGGTATTTAATAATTAATGTAATAAAAAAATTGATGATGATTATATCAATATGTAATCCTCTTTTCATAAATAAGTTCTAACGAATAGTTTTGATTTTTTAAATTAACAAAGATATATTTAAATTCTCATACTAAGCCTTTTCATTTAATGTGTCACACTATATTAGCAAAACTTTTTTAGATTTCTAATTTAACCCCCAAAAGAAGACGCCGTATTTCAAATTCATTTATTTACGTACGGCCATATTTTGGTTTTAAATTAAATTGCTGCAGTAGTTTAAAGAAAGTCGTAATCGGAATCGGTAAGCAACATTAAAAATACTGGCTTCCAGTATTCGATACAAAAATCATTTTATCTTAAATGTTAATCATTTTATCAACAAATTCGCAGTTTCACAGGATAAAAACTATATTTAGCCTATTTTGTGCAACAATATTTCTCCCATTATAAACACCTAATCAAATACAAAAAATAAATAGTATTTCGTTTCGTAATTCCGTTGTCTTTTATTAACCTACTTCAAAATCTTAAAGGAGGAGGATATTCCGCCAATAGTTGACCGATTTTCAAAATTCTTTTATACGACAGCTTAATGGACCGATTTTATTGAATTTTATCGAAATCGTATCAGTAGTTTTCCTGTTATAACAATACCAAATAAGCCTTTAACCATATATCACCTAAATATTTCCATCAAGGATATGTATTTCAATTAAAAAATAAAATATTTCGTTTTTTGAATTTATCCAAAATGTTCAAAGAGTATGTATATTTTTGTTTGAAATTAGTATGTCAATAGTTTTCTTTTTGAATTGTGAACCAAGTTCTATCAAATTAGCTGTTTCCCTGCGACTTCGCCTACGTAAATTATAACCTAAGTCCAACGCGTATAATGTAGCTACCCGTAAATGAAAGACTTTTATAAATCGGTAAAATAGTTTCAAAGCCTATCCAATGCAAACAAACAGAGGAAAGATTTGATTACTAATTTTTCCTCTTTATAATATAAGTATAGAATTATTGTAAAAAATTATGTCGAGTAAATAAACAAAATCTTCTTTTCTAATACATTCACTGTATTGAATATTTTTATTTTTATAGATAATTAATATGTTTAGTGTCACCTATATCAATATCAATAAAAAGCACAAAACAAAACTTAAAAATAGACCCGACATCAAACTTTAAAAAATGTTAATTAATTCTTAACTCAAAAGCGATTTATTTAAGAAAAGTGCAGTTAAAGTCGGGTGCCTATAATTTAATTAATAAACCTACAGAAATAAACCTTCGCCTGACTTCAATAACATTTTCTTGAATAAGTCGCTTTTTAAATTATTATTATTTATCGTTTTTTTTAAACAATGAAGTCTGTTCTATTTTGAAGTTTATATTTTTATCTATAAGTACTACGTACAAAGTTTATTTTAGAGTTAATTTAACTAGTTGTTACACTATTGATAAAACATATAAACGCCCTATAAATTAATTTGTATGATATTGGTGCTGTTTCATAAATTATTATAAAGATGCCTAATATCATCTCAGGTTAGCGATTATAATCTTACAAAATTGCCGAACTTCTAACCATCTAAAATTTTTAATTATAGACTCAAATTTACAATTTAGAAAATTTTAACATAATATTATTATGTAGGTATCTCTGTTCGATTGCATCCATAGAGAAGGCGTGTGCCCCAGCAATGGGGACATTGATAAGCTTATAGTAATTATTATAATATTGTATTAAGTCACTCATATTGAGACATATTTAATTTTGACATTATTAAACTCAAATCATGAAACTGTTAAAATAAAGTAAAATCAATTAAAAAATTTCCTTCTAGTTACCTATTATGGTATAAGTCTTCTACATAGATGAAAACGCTACATGCATAATGAACCGTAATTCCATTACGCGAATAGTACGTCAATCATACTACAAAAACTTGCGACTGACACATTGGCGTTGTTAAACGATACGAACTTATAGAAAATCATATTTGCATAGGTAGTTGCAATAGTAATAATATTCGTTGCCCGGTTGCCTCTTATTGAAATAATCCCCTTCGTATTCAGATAGACGCCTGCTGCGTTGTTGTATAGCATGCTTCTATTTTATTTACACTCGCTTCATTTAACCATGCGCTTGAGTGTGCATAAGGGCTCGTCTAGTGTAGTCCCTGATAATATTTTACAAAAGCTATATACATGTATTTAATTCAATTTGATTGAGAAACGGTTGAATGACTACTAAAGACAACAAATTCAGGTCCAATACATTGGTTTGAGGCTTCGTATGCAGTGCTCTAGTAGAAATATTTTTGTATTCTAAAAAAATATCTTGATTACTATACATACGACTAATTAGTCTTAATCAATAAAGTTAAATTTTACCATAATTATACCACAATGATGATTACAGAAGTAAATACTATTATAATATCTGTGATAGGAGGTTACGACGCATGAAGATATAAGACAATCAGTAGTAAGATGAGTATGCGCTTCAATAACAAAATATTATTTAGTTAATAGTTTTTTCAATAAACAATTATAAAAAGCTTATTTTTGCAATTTGTGAACAATATTAAACATTAAGTATTCGAGACATTGACAACGTATTCAATTCAGTTAAGTTTTCAAATTAAAATTTCGTAGTTTAAAATCAGTGATCCAAAAATGGATATGTGATGTAGGTAAATTAGAAGGTAAAGGAAATCTTGAATTAATTTCTTTAAAAACAGTAAATTTGCACTTGGGTAACAACTACTCAACTTCAATATCAGTTGGTAATGCATGGAAATTCAATGAAAAATTGTTGCACTACTAACGATTGTAAAGCAAAATGGTAGAAATAGGGAGGCAAGCGAGGGTGAGAGTTTTCCCCAATCGATAAAAGGGAAAACGCGTTTTCTATTGGAGGGCTATCCTCATAGCGCCCGCCCAGAAAATCATGGCCGCCGTCGCTACCACCCTCAATCATCGTATACTAATTGTATAGAACAATTAACCTATACCATATTATAATTAGTTTAAATAGTTTTTGAAAGGGCGAATAAATAGAAGAAAAGGATAGTTGTCTCGGTCGTTAATCCGATTCGATGGACCATGAAAAGATTTATTTCTACTCTGCTATAAAGGGCACTTCGCATTTTGTGTTAGATAAATAATTTAAATGAAAATTTATTTATTTTAAATCATTGTTTTATGTGACTGCTTACTTACGCTGTGTATTTTTAGTTATATTAAAGTGTTCATATTTGTAAAGAAGAATATGAAGTCGTAATGTTTTTATAATTTTATAATAATGTCTATACACAAAACGTTACTGTAATTATTATACATAAAAAATATTACTTTGGTGGTATTATGGTTATTGATCACGAGTTGCGTAAATGTTTGCGTTATTTGTACTGAATTAATATTTTCAATATTAGGCATAGGTACTATGAAGTGCCTGCTTGGGGAAATATAATTATCTCTGTTTGTTGCATATATCACCGAATAGATATGTCAAATTTTCTACGTCGTTTCAGGTTTGGGTGTCATGTACGTATCTTAGTTGTATTAGATTCATATAACACTAGTTCTTTACCTACTTGAGATCTGAGCATTGTATGAAATGGTGCAAAGTATAAAAAATATATAATTAGGTGGTACGAAACCATACGGCAACGATTGTTACCTTATAAATAAATTTAACAGTGAAGTAGGTTATTAGTAAAATTGCATCCTTGACGAGTGTCTGCCACAATTAAAGGTTTGTTTGGAGCGGATGTCTGAACAAAGCCATAGCTTCGAGCACGCGATCCCTGCCGCCTACCTTCTGTCGTACGGCATTTGCCACTTTTTTTCTCAAACATTACCTTTTAAGCTCAAGAAAAGAATATATTATTTAAAGATTTTTTATTTTATTTTTGCCATGAATTATAGTGTTGTCTCACTAGAAGCATAAAAAATAATAGTCTCTTCTAAACATGTGACCGATAAAAAAAAAGTCGACCCTGCTGTCCCTGCCACCTACGGTGCGGTGCTCTGATTTTTTGTCTTAATTTTTTTTAATAGTTTGAGAGGACGATGCCTTTATTTCCGGAAACTTAGCAATCCTCGCCTGGATAATTAATGGTTTACTAAAATTCAGAATAAACCATACGTTCGAAAAGTAGAAGCATCTTTTTATAACCAATAATATTATTCACAATGTTGTAAATAGCTCGTCTAAGAAAAACTTTTAACAAAATCATCAATAATAAAGTTTTTGTTTGTCACCAGGCTCACATTGTGTCTCGGTTCATAATGAACGGAGTGTGCGTCCGATGGCGAGGCTGGATCGACTTGGAGCGCTTAGACGGCGCCGGATGTCTGGAGCTGGATGAAGAGCGTGCCGCAATAGAAGACGCAGCGTTACGTGAACAAATAGAACGGTACAACCAGAGGCTGCGTGACTTCGAGGACAAACAGCGCGCATACCGTGAACACGGTGACGAATTACGCGCTCATTCTCATGCGCACGCGCAACGCTGTCACCAAGGACGTCCGTCACATGCTGCACATCCACCACACCCCCACCCGACACATCCTGTGCATATCAAACCACATTCACAGGGAGCACTTATCTCTTAAATTCTTCTTCTAAAACTATGGACATTCATTTTCAATATAAATGTGACATTTGTCAAGTCTCACTGATTTAAGAAGTCTCGGTGACGAGAAGAAAAATTTCGCTAAGTACTGATGATATATCACATAACCTAATGACAAAATTTGTCACATGGAATTTTACTTGCATTCGAATATGCGAAATAACTGATGAAATATCGCGTTTGACCGAGTGACAAAATTAATCATTAGGATTTTACTACATTCAAATATGCGAAATAGTTAAAATATCTATTCCTTGGTAGAGCGAACAACAGAAGATTGTAAGCGCATTTAAAAAGAACCTTTTGAATATACTCTTAAAAATATAAGTTTATTTAGCTAATGCCAATGACATTTTCACCAAATAGGTACACGATGTACTTTATGTATACCTACGTATAATTAAGTAAACAGTCATTTGTTTTTGAAAATATTAACATAAAAAGATATGTTGCAATGTTAGTTGTAAGAAGCATCTTGAAATAAAAGTAACCTAGTTCAGTGTAGGTATTATTGTTATCGTTTTGCCTAACATACATACTAAATATTTGAAAACTAGCTACATTTATTATGTAAGCAGTCATTAGCTACATTGTAGTTTGAATCGTATGGATTATAACAACGGTTAATTGATGCAATTCTTATTTCGATGTACACAAAACGACATATATATTGCTCAGTTTATTTCACGTATATTATGTTTTTCTTCGATTTTCATCCATCCATCCATCGCTTTTTATTAGGTACTGATACTTGTATATTATACTATTATTAAATAATGTAAAATTATGTTCTTGTTTCCAAAATTCAGATGTGTTATTTAATTTTAAGCTTATTTTATATTACCTGAAATTTACTTTAAAATTATTGTAAAAATGATTGTGATAGTAATGTAAATAAATCTTAACAATATATAACATCTACCTTTTATTCTTCTATAGAAAGAAGCATTATTTCTAAAACCCGTTTTTGGGCAATATTAAATATTAAGGTACTCAATACATGGAGCTTTTTCATCATATTTTGTTGTGAATATCAACACTACAACAAAACTCGAATCTCTATTTCATGGGTTTCACGCCCATTGTGCTAAAATACACCAACACCCAGCACTACCCAACCTAACGGGACAATTGTTTGAGCATCGGATGTCCATGTTCGTAGCACGATTTAGAATTAGACATTAGAAAACTTTTAAAATGTTAAAGGTAAAGAAAATACTCATTACTTACCGTTCATTACTTCTTCTTTAAAGTCTAGTGAAATTCCTATTGAAGTTAGGCGGAGATTTTATGTAAGTTGTGTAATACTACCGATTTTTAATAGTTTACCATGGATATAACGTCTATTACACGTCTTAATTTTTTTTTTAGTTTTGAGTATCTATTATTTTTAGTAGTGTATAATAATATGTATTATAAAGAGAGAAGATTTGATTATTTGCATTGAAAAATTGGATCTGAAACTACAAACCGAATTTTAAAATTCTTTCATCTACGGGAAGCTATTATGCACGGGTGACATAGGTAGGTTTAATTAACGCGACGAATATCGCGGAAAAACAGCTAGTAGGAAAAAATCTGGTAGTAAATAGAAAATCAAAATTAGATAACTAATTGTTTCCTTCGATGTAACGACTATCGTCTGTGTTTTACTTATTTGGTCCAGTTATTTTATTTGGTTGTAAAAACAAAACTAATCCAGTTTTGTTAAAAAAATATGTCAATGCTCAGGTCCATAAGATTAAAATTAAATTCCAAAAATCGTTCTACAATTGCGTAAAAAATATATCGAAGAACATAAAAGTTCCTCCTTTTTATTATGAAGCCGGTCAAAAAAAATATCATATGAAACGGCATCAAAAATTATGGGATATAACCGATTTGGAACCGAGAAACTTTTGAAATTCACATACTTATTATACAGCTATCAGCTTTATCGTTTCAATTTTATTAAAAATATATAAAATTGAAAATCGACGTCACAATAAGACGTCGTAATAATAATAAACTATTCTTAATAGGAAATGAAAATGAAATTATGCATAGTAAATTCATAATTTCGCTGACAACATACTTTGACAATAATACTTCAGTCCCACAACAAGGTGATTCGTCTGTAGGAATCGTAGGGCAGTGACCCATTTTTTGGCCATATTAAGATTGATTGAGTATTAGCCATTGAGAATTACGAGGGAGTGAATTTTGACACATCACAACTGTGAATGGTAATAGTTATGCCGTCATGAAATCTTCAAACCATTCATGATTAAGTAATATCTATATTACCTATGCGTTACTTGCAACGCTTTGAACTTCTAAATGGCCAAAAGGGACAGTCTTTCCTGTTTTATTTAGATGGACAAAATTATTAATTTGAATTGTACACGTTAAGACAATACATTTATTGATATAATCATACAATTTATATACTTTTATTTAAGAGTCAATCAGGACTCTGCCTCAGCATAATACCGTAACAGTGCAGATTATATAACCTGTCACGACGCTGGTTATTCTGACAAAGCCTATGTAGGTAGTTGACGTTACCATGTTAAACAGAGAACAGAAGATCTGCCTTATGGTGATTGTATCAGCTGCAGTGTGGTGGCGGATTCTGGCTGACTATGTTGTGAGAGCACGCGCGTCGCACCTGTGGCTCTGTGGCTCGATTGTGTGTTAGCCGCCCCTCGACGCCCTCACTCATTATACGCAATTTACCCGACTAAAGGAAATGTTCACATTCATGCTCGTTGAACACAACTCATGCCTGATTGCCCCCATTAAACGTCGTAACTTTAAATGCTACAGTCGTTAGTAATTAGTCAAAATATCTACTAATTTTACAACTGCTCACGTGTTATCTTGACGTGATCGCTTTACATTGTTATCTTTTTCGTAAAATAATAAGATCTAATAGTTCACAATGGTGAATTCGATTTTATGCATAATTTATTCTATAACATAACAATTTTATTTCGTTGTACTTGCTATCTGAATCAGGGTTCGCTGATAAATATCAACGGATGTATATCTTGATATATATCAATTGATATTTATCATATTTATTGGTAGTTTGAGTATTGAGTATTCAGTCTCAGCTAAAAAATTAACCAACCACATGTAACGCTAGTAACATTGGTCCGATGTAGCAATTTTACTTACTAGAAATATCGGATTTTCCGCTATACGTTACTGGAAATCCTCGCACGCATACTACTTTTTAATCATTTCATAGTAAATAAATAACTCAGACTCAATTTTTCTTTACACTTTTGATTTAAAAGGTCAAATATTAAATAAAGCCATTGGGAGCTCAAAAATCGCAGCTTTTCATATGCATGATATATATGGGATAAATATCAAGTATCGGATTTTTGCGAACCCTGCTGAATACTGTTTTTATGAAATAGAACATAGATTTTTTTTTGTTTTGGAGAACACGGATTTATCTCACAGAAACTTGTTCAAAATAATTCAGAATAAAGTAGAGTACTCATAAAGATAAAAATTTACGAAATGGTAAGTCGACCAAACGAAGAGTTAAAAATTAGTTGTAGAAAAAAAAAATATAAATAAAATGAATTTTAGAGCTGACTTTGTAATGTTTTTTATGAGAACAAATTACAGTCCTGAACCGACTGATCAGCACCCAAGGATAGAAAATGTAGTTAAACCTTTTTCTGTTAATTTTAAGCATTCCTGTAGTTCAAAAATAATGGTCGTTAGTAGTAGGCGACACTACCTTAGTATGAAAACATAAGAAATTTTTTGATAACATATTCTTTCGAAAAAAGGTTAATAATTTATTATGTTAGTTATCTCAACACATCACATCGTTGAATAATAATCCCAGAAATGTTCACATATCATGTTCGCATGAAAACAATCTTTTAACCTATCTTTCCGAAAAAAAAAAAGACATTTTATGCGGAACTGCAATATTACGATGCTATCGCAGGTTTTATTGTGACGTACAAGGCACCTTGACCGTCAAATTTGAGCAGGTACACCTTCTTTATTGGACATCGTTTCTGATCGATACCAACAAAAAACTTGCACTGGTATAAGGCAAAAATCGTGAATTGTACCCAGATCTCGTACACAATGAACCGATGATTTATCGGTCCATTCTTTTTGCGCAAAAAGCGCAGGTCAGTGTTCAAGCGATCGAAGCACCGAAAGGGCATTTCGTGTAATCCGCATACGAACCGTGGGAAAACGTTCAGACTACGCAACTGATCATACACTTACGCATGTTACAGCTTTGCTCTGATATAAATACTGATCTATACGTAATTCGTTTGTCTTTATAGAAAAAAAAACTCATTTTTCTTTCTCGTCAGTCTTTAAGTATGATTCTCGAATCTTACTTCTTACTAATATTATAAAAGGTTAAAGTTTGTAAGTTTGGATATTTGTTACTTCTTTACGCAAATACCACCGGATTTGGATGAAATTTGGTATACCTGTAATTCGAATCCTGGATTAACATATAGGCTACTATTTATGCCACAACAGTTCCCTAGGTACCACGTGGACAAAGCTATTATTTAACAAATAAATATAACAAATTCTTTTTAATTTACAAAAACAAATATTCAGTCTAACTTGATTGATAAACAATCAAATAAAACCTTCATTAATTGAACCTCTGAATCGTTATGTAACGATCGCAAAGTTCACTGACCGTGTTGATAAATTCGATCGCTGGAAAACTAAAGAATGTATCTAATTTGACAGTTTGACAGTTCTTTGGCGATTACTATGAGTTAGCAACCGAATTTGGTTAATTTGCAATTGCAAACTCTGTCGACACTGCATGTGCTGTGTTCTATTTCGGTAATGTTACCATATCCAACTTTTTTATTGACAACCCTTTTTGATACAGTTTTAGTTACAAGATTACAAAATAACAAATATAACTGTCACCATTGCTTTGCTATGAATACGATGTTGTACCTACCTATTAATATTGGTTAAATATAAGATAATACAGTGCCAAAATACAGTGCTTTAGATGCCATTATTACTTTAACATTAGCAGAATTGAGAGCTAGATCCTTGCTTCTTTAGAACAGGTATTAACCACAAGATAAAATGAGAATAAAGTAAAAAGCAGTATAATATGACACCAACAAACTAAGGATTTTATAAGGTTTCATGGAGATGACTACACATTGAACGGGGTGTCTTGGCTCACACATGAATAGCCCGGTTCCACCAGTTATTTATGTGGCTTCCCATCTCAACAAGTTTTGTATCTATTGAAATAAAATAACCTAGTTTTTAACGAATTCTCATTGAACAAATAAGTAAATATAAAGTGAATCAGTAAAAAACCCTAATATTTACTGATTCACTTTTAATTTTTTAATCACTTATGTTTAATATTTTCAGAAATTTCCATTGTGGTCTCCCTTCCCTACTCAAACTCTCTATCGAACTTCAATAGAAGTTTGTTAAATATATTTATTGGCTACTTTTCACTTTTTAAAGTATTTAGAAGTCAGTTTAAGTTTTTTGAAATATCATTTTTTATCGACCATATAACGAAAAGTGCGAAGTTTTTTAA